GGGACATGAAAATGACAGTTTTCGTGAGAATGACCCATATATATATATATATATATATATTAATAAATAAGAGCAAAAAATATCTAATAACCTACTAATAACTAACTGAAAATCGGTTGTTTTTTGAAAAATTACTTTAACAACATATTAAACAAATAAAAGTTTATTTAATGCACATAGTTGTATAAAAAATTACTCACTTTCGTTTTTTCCTGCTACAGTTCAGAAATTGTTTTAAAAAAAGCTCGTCATTTCAAAATTCATTTAAAAGGAAATAATTGTCTTTTACACTAAACAACCCATATGTCAGTTAGAAAAATATAAAAAAAAAATATAGATTTACCTTTTTTAAATTCATTCAGCATAACATCTAAAGTACAGTCTTCAAATACATAATTAATTGGATGGTTATAAAAGGCTGTAAGAGTTCTAAGCGGTGAATTATCATCAGGATCGACAAACGCTAAGTCTTTAATGTTCAGCAAAGCAACAATATTGTTGCGATTCCCTTCAAAAACAGGTATTCTAGAATATCCAGATCTCGTTATTTCAGCCATAGTTTCAAAATTAAGAATGGCTTCATAAGGCACCATAAACACATCATCAACTTGTGTCATAACATCAGTCACTTTCTTCTTCTTCAGCTCTAAAGCTCCAGATATTATATTGACTTCTTCATTTTCTAAATTATTGTAGTCTTTAGTAACGCGAATAAATTCCATAAGCCTTTCTCGGTCATAAACATTTCCTATCTCCTCCCCGAGAACACAATCTAAAATTTTACTAATAGGGAAAGATAAAGGAAATGTTGCAAGCATGAAAAATTTTGTAATATACACTGTTTTTGCACCGATTGCAAGACCATGCCGAGAGCATATTGCTTGAGGGATTATTTCCCCAAAAATCACAATACTTATGGTTGAACCAACTATGGCTATAATTCCAGATGTGAGATCATCCAACAATATTGTCAGTGAATTGTTAACTAAGACGTTACCTAAAAGAAGCGAACACAACAAATAATTGCCTCTCTTGCGTAACGGTGCGATGATTCGGGCGTAACGTTTCTCATCTTCTAATCCGCAATTTTCAATGACTTGTAACTCAGTTCGATCTAAGGCCATCAGACCGAGATTGAGACCACTAAAAAGTCCAGATAGCATTAAAAGAGAGCAAATGATAGCAATTTGGAGCCACATAGGTAAGAGACGACCATAGGGTTCTATTCGAAACCATGGGTCATTCCCTTGGTGAATCCACATGGTGACTTCTCTTTTTTCACGCGTTTCTTTAACACAAATGAAGTAACTATCACTATCTTCTAATATGGGAAGAGAAATTTCAATTTCCAACACATGTTCTGATAAAACATTCTTGTTGGCAATTTTAACAACTTTCGCTATGTTTTCACAGTGTTTGTCCGGGTGAATTACGCTATCCGTTGTGAAGGCTATTTCTGTTTGATTCGAAAAACGAATCCCAAACAACCGAAGCGTAAAGTTGACCATTGCTGGAACTTTAGTGAAACCTTCTTCAGTAATATACACACGATCCCCTTCAGCTCGTAGTCCATATACTTGCGTGCCAATAATATCATTGTCATACCTAGAGGGGAAATTCACCAATTATGAAAGCAAAAAATAGGACAAAAATAAGTATTCAAATTGTTTAAGGTTTTTTAAGATATTTTACAAATACTATGGGGAAAAAAACATGAATAAGTTCAAAAACATTTGCATAGACGACAGAACTAAAATAACTGTGAATCATCAAAGGACACACAATTGAGAGGTGTGAGCAATATCAAATTTAATCATTGGTATTTTTTTCAAATAAATTAATAATTATTTACTCTACACCATCGAAATACGTAAAATCCATGAAACTACATTTTTTGTGACAAAATCATACCGATACAAATCGTCAATAATCATTTTTAGTAAGGTAGTTCAGTATTACACTTTTGTCTTTTTCAGATTTTTGAAAAACATTTTTGTTTTTGTTTAATTTAAAACGGTTTTTCAGCTTCACCCAAATTGGGTTTTGGCAGTTTAAACTAATTCGAAGTAAATTTTTAAAAATCTAAATGCATAAAAATGCACAGTATTAAAATACTTATCCAAAATGACAAAGCACATAATTTTATCTGATGAATAGATGCCAGTAGATGAGGATTGTTTAAACTTAAAAACTAATAACTGGGTGTTCGGATGCTAGTAGAGGTGGCAGGAAAAACCTAGTTCAAGCGCTGTTTTTCCAAATCTAATATAACAAAGCCTTCATTTCATACCTATGTTACCGTTGAATAATATTTTATTAACTAGTTGAGAATAAAAGACAGAGAAAACGGATATCAAAAATTTAACCTAAAATCCAAGATGGCGAAGCGTAATTTGATGCACTTGCAAAATAAGAATACAAATTTACACGTTAACTATATCACGCGTTTACAGTAAAATCTCCTTCAGGCCACAAGTACCGCTGTACGAAGCGTATTCTGCTAAGTACCCCCTTTGATATGCGAGTCTCTTGCGGTCAAAAGAATCATATCTCACTCCGTTTGTTTCCATGGTATCATGCCTGTTTATTTGTGTCCGTTACTTCACTTATTAATTTTAAAAACGCATGAATACAAATCGTAATATTAGATTTTTAAATTTCAAGAATACGAATCACAACGAGTAACTTTTAAATCAGGTTAATATAAAAATCAATGTTTGGTATTAAAATCACGTGAATATGAATCGCGATATAAGCGGATTCCGGTGCAGTTCCAAATTTTCAAAATGGCGAAAATCTGCCAAACTAAAAAAAATCAAATTGGCGAAGTTCTGCCAATTTTGGTTCCGCTAATTGGCAGAAGAACCACATGTATGTAGACGTCTCCTTAATGGGATTTAGCAATAACTTGAGATCTTAAACTTTAAAACTCTGAAAATATAAGTATGATTCACAGAAAAATCACATATCCTGCTCCTAAATTTTAGACCTGGAAGGAGGGTATGAAAACCCTGAATTCCGAGGTACACCTTGTGTACAATAACCCTTAAAATATGCTAATATACATTCTCTAAAAAAGCTTAGATTGAAATTAATTTCATTTTCTTTAGATACACCTTTTTGAGTTGGAATAAGAAACTACTGAATAAGTTATTGAATTTGTTCACACTAGCCTCATAGCTTTTTAAAAAAGTATGGTGAAAGAACTAAAAAAATTTTTTAATTCTAAAAAATATTTTAATGCGAAATTACCCACCTGAAGAAAGAATTATTCTTACAATGGAATTTATTAAAATATTAACTGGATTAATTGAATTAAACGCAAAAGCATAGCAAAAAATAAATAATTGATTAAAACTATTTTTGAGTCTGCCTTGAAAATAAAAGTGAAAAAGTAATAATAGACTACTTAATGAAGCGAACGCTTAATAATGGAATCATTAAAAAAATAATAAATGAAATAAAAAAAGACAACAACAGGTGACTAACTGAGCTTTGCTGCAGGAATTTGAAAATCTATTCTCACAGCTAAATTTAAAAACAAGTTACAAAGTATGCCAACAGGTAGCGCTACTAACCGAGAAAACTTTCAAACAATATTTTGTAAATATCCATCTTTCAAAATGTACCTATTTCGAAACTAGAATAGATATACTATCAAATTTTCTTCATAATATTAATTTGATATTGTTGAATCAAAAATTATCAAAAATATCTAGTTTATACCTAAACTAACCCAGTCTAAAATAGCTTTTTTATAAAAATTAAAACTTTCGATAATAAAAATTTGAATGTTATATTGGAACAATTTTAATTTTCTTGTTAACTTTCTAAAATATTCAATGAAATAAATTAAGCTTAACACAACATGCAATAAATTAAATAACCCAGATGGCATGTTTACACTTATTTATTTTTATGAATAGATAGAAATAAATACTAATCCTGCATTTCAGAACAGAAGGATGCACACAATTATTAATGCAAGGGTTTCAATTTTCAAAAATCAGTTTATTCTATACTTGACACAATCAGAATGGACATGAAGAACGCCGATTACTATCGTAAATTTAGATTAGATTTAAGGTAGCGTCATAGTATGTCAGCAATTATTTTTATATTCAGATATGGCAACTTGTTCCAGACAGCGAATAAATATTTTCGAGTGATAGTCTTTCAATGTACGATTCGTGATTTAGTAAATTCAATTTATAGAGTTTTTACTCAACACTACTTCGAAATAATTCAAAGGCTTATATAATACACCACTCTGCTACAGTTCGCCTATGTTGAGCCTTCTAAAAAATTGAAAAAATTAACCGAAAATCAGCACATTTTAGTTAGTAGATCTCTAACATTTTTTAAAATATTTTGTAGAATACGGAGCAGTTGGCATTGCTGTTAAATTATGCCTAGGATCTGGAAAGATGAAGCAATACATCATATTAAAACGTATCTTTGAAAATAATATCAGTCTTGTATTCTATATTTTAATAGTTTGGCATGCAAAAGAATACTGTTGGCAAAAAATATTACCTTTCTTAGAAAAGTATAACGTAGTGAAATCATACAATAGAAACTTAAATGTTTTTTTTTTAATACGCAGTTAAATTTTGAATAAAATAGGATCAAATATACCCTATAGCCTATTGAGTTAGCAATTATTGAGTATACCCTATAGCAGCAACGTTATAAGTCCTGGAAATTAATAAGCAGCTATTTAGTGTTATTTACTGATTTCAAAATTTAAAATCTCGGAAATGAGAGGCAATCGGAAAATGAAGTAAACGATATATTTATAGTGAAAGCTGTAAATATTTTATCCAGAAATTTCGGAATTTAAGAACAAAAATCGCCAGCAGATGGAGCTGCAAGACATCGCTGACCCGAGCGATTAGTTCTAGAGTTGAAACGTGAAACAAAGTTATCATGAACTTATTGAACTACTTGTGCTTCTAGTATTGGAACATGACAGTTTTGATTATGATACAACGGCATTTGTATTCTTTTTAAGAACTCTGTTCAGTGTACAGCGCCATCCGTCGGAAACTTTTGTGACTAAATTCCAACATATCTATATAGTTTTTACAGCTTATCAATAAACAAACTGTTTGCTTCATTCGCCTATAATTCTTTGTTTCCGAGATTTTTAGTTTTGAAATCAATAAGTCTTACACTGAACATGTATTTACATGCAGAATGTTCTGAAGTCACCGCCCTTTATATACAGATGTCCAAAATGTACGAAAAAGGTTAAATATCTCGAGGAAGACACATCGGAGGAAAAATTTGAAAATTCACGAGTGAAATACTTTTTAAAGAAGCATTCAATGGTACCTAACTCGACCACCCTAGGAATCACCCGAGTACCTAAAGTTGAAAAAAGTACCAGAGATTGGTATCATTAGATGAATTTTTCATTAAATAAAACAAGTAAATTTTTATATTTGCGAGCTGACATGCCTTTCTCGAACCATCTCTATTTCAAACAATTTTTAAGCGATCTTCATTTTGCAATAAGAGCGCCATCTATGAACTCGTGGTGGCTCAGGGGATAGAGCGTTCGACTTTTCATGGGATGAACCGGGTTCGAATACCAGAGATTTATCTCTATCCGGATTTGAATCTCAGCTCTATTTCCTTCAGCAATCATAAAGGTTTGATATTTTAAGCCCTTAGCGTTAAGTTTCTATAACATTTTTAACTTCCTTAAGTATGAATTTGTGAGCTCAATTGTAGAGGAAAGGTCATAATACACAAAAGTTACCTAATATGAGAGAACATCTGGAATTACCCATAAATACATGAAGGTTGTAATAGTGAAATGCAGGAATATTTTGTAATTGTTATATAATTGTTTTTGTCATAAAATTGTAAGCAAATAACAATAGTCCAACGATATAACAATTAGAGCTTACGTTTTTAATATATTTTGGTACTGTAGCATATAAGGCCGAGTTTCTTTTTTTCTTTTTTTTTTTTGCAGATTTATTAGCATTTTTACTGCAGTGCTTTTGAGCTTTACAAATTTGGCCCATCCCTAGATATAATAATTACACCGGTAAGATACAATAATAAAAATGGACATAATAATTCTATACTAATCTTAATTTAAAAACCTTTTCCGTGTGTACTTTTTGTCAAAGATATATGGTCATTAAAAAACACAATTAAAATGCAAAGAGACAATTTGCAATTATCATGTGACGTTCTCATCAAAATTTGACGCATAGAGTGCCTCAAACAAGCAAGAAAGCTTCAGTCATAATTAACTTTCAATAGCTTACGAGTGGGTGTGTAAGAGTCGGGAAGCAAGAAAGCTCGAGTCATAATTGACTTTCAGTAGCTTACGAGTGGGTTTGTAGAGTCAATATGCAAGAAAGCTCGAGTCATAATTGACTTTCAGTAGCTTACGAGTGGGTTTGTAGAGTCAGGATGTAAGATAGCTTGAGTCATAATTAACTTTCAGTAGCTAGTTCGAATGCTACTAACGGCTGCTTGCAATAACCACTGTGTTGATGCGAAATAACCCTAGTAATAAACGGATCGTAGGTTAGATCAATGGTGCGCAAACTAGGGGTCGCGACCCCTGTGGGGTCGCCAGAAGTTTTTTGGGGGTCGCCAAATTTTTATGAAATGCATTATCCCTGCATGCTGCATACCATACAGTGTACATATAAAGAGTGAAGCGCCGTCACTCCCTGTTTAATTGCAATTTCATGCTGTCCAGTCTTTCTGATGGTGCTGCACCATTAACAGGTTCGAATAAAGGGCTTAGAGGCTTAATTCAGAAGGTGGCGCCTCATATGGTATTTAATCACTGTATGATTCATCGGCAAGCTCTTGTTGCAAAAGATATGGATGAAGAGTTGCACAACGTATTACAAGACGCTGTTAGTTCAATTAACTACATTAAATGCAACAGCCACAACAGCCGTCTCTTTTCAATACTTTGCAATGAGATGGGCTCAACGTATGAGCGATTTACTGTTACACACCAAAGTCAGATGGCTTTCACGAGGGAAAATACTACGACGGATATTTGATTTAAGAAATGAAGTGTACACGTTTTTAATCGAAAAGAAACATAGATTGGCAAGTTATTATATCAATGAAGTTTGGCTAGGGAAGCTGAGCTATTTAGTTGATATTTTCGAAAAACTTAACGACTTAAATTTGAGCTTGCAGGGTGAGAATTCAACTATCATAACTGCAGCCAGTAAAATTCAAGCTTTTAAGAATAAGCTTAGTCTCTGGAAATCTGAACTGAATAAAAACAACACCATGTTCCCTTGCTTTAACGATTTTATCAAGGAAAATAATATAGATATATTTACATTTAAAAACATCATTTCTAATCACATTGAAAAGTTAAAGAAAATTTTTTCGAGAAGATTCGAGGATTTTCCTGAAAATATTGGTTGGATTCGTGATCCATTTTCCTTTGACATATGCAGTTCAACTCTTCAAATTAGTGAGAACTACTGAGTCGAAATCAATTTAAGACTCAGCCTTGACAAAATTTTGGCTATCCGTGGAAAAACAATATCCCATTTTATGCAAGAATGCCATCAGAGTGTTAATACAATTTGCATCAACGTATTTATGTGAAACTGGATTTAGCAAACTAGTTTCAATAAAAACTAAATACCGCTCGTGTTTAAACCCTGAAGATGATATGCGAATTGCAATTAGCAACATACACCCAAACATCGATGAGATAATTAGAAACTTGCAGCCACATACATCTCATTAAAGGGCAATTTACTGATTTTTGTGTTATACAAAAAGTATTTTCTTAAAATTATAAATAAAATTAATATGAGTCAAATATGATGATGTTTTTATTCGATGAAACGAAAGAAATGCGCGAAATATACATCTTATTTGTGAACATTTATCTCTAGGTGTCGCCAAAAATTTTCTTTCTACTAAAGGGGTCGCAGTCGAAAAAAGTTTGCGCACCACTGGGTTAGATCACAGGCTTACTATGTATGGCTACACAGGTTTTCATTCCAAGCAATACAACTTTTTTCAAAATATACTTTTGGTATTAATATTTTCGAAGGAGCATTCTTTTTATTGCTGTAATTACTAGACTAAAAAGTATTACATCGAAGCCACAAGAAATTGTGCTCATGACGGATTATTGCTGTGACGAATTCTGCCTACGATTAATCTTGCTTGCGACGATTTGTGCTTATGACGAATTATACTCACGACGATTTATGCTCATGACAAATTATACTCGCGATGATTTGTGCTTATGCTGAATTATACTCACGACGAACTGTGCTAGCGGCGAATTGTAGGTGCAATGAGTTGAGCCCACGGCGATCACGAGTAGTTGTCACTACAAGTTGTTGTAGTTCGGGGTGCCAAACTCAAAAGCTAAGTTGGGCCAAATAAACAATGCTTAACTTTAGGTGGGCCGCAAAAAAAAAAAAAAATCTATGTTCATGGAAACAAGTATTTTTATTTGGAATAGTACATTGTAATAAACACATATAAAGTTAAATTATTTTTTTTCGTCTTGACACTTGACATCTCTTCTCTGCTACTATCTTTCCTATTTCGGGGGAAATTTTATTGGCCGAGACTACTTTCAAAATTGGCCCAACGTGAGCGTTATTAATACGGTTTCGGGCAGGAGATTTATTTTCATTTATAACAGAAAACAATTGCTAGCACTGATAAGTACTTCCAAACATGGAAATAATTTCATATGCGAAGTTTCGAGTATTTTCAAACCTTGCCGGTAAATATTTTTGAAATTCAGGAACACCCACTTCAATGAATTTTACCTTCAAATTTGAGTCGCACTGAATTTTAATCAATTCCATTTGTATATTACTGGGTACTGAGTCTACATTTATTGAGAAAATGGAAGAAAACAAACAAAATTTGTCTTCCAAAGAATTAAAATCTTTAAATCTTGTTTCAAATTCTGTTCTAAGATTTGAAGTTTTTTTCTGTGTATTTTTGATACGATGCAGTATCATCTAAACTAGATTTGTTCTTGTTGCACGTTGGGAAATGCGTTAAATCTTTATTTTTCAGTTGCCTTTCCCAAAGAAATAGTTTACATTTGAATTGTGTCAAACTTGTTCGTAATGATCTGATCCTTGCCTTGTAACAATAAATTTAAATCGGATAAGTGTTTGGTTATATCAACCATAAAAGATAAATTCTGCAATCATATTTGATCGGAGAACAATCTTGTATCCTGATTTATAGTTTGTAAAAACTTGCTTATTATTTGTTTCAAATCCCAGAATTGATTGAGAACCTTGGAGCAAGATAACCAACTTGCCTCGCTATAATAGGATAAACCTGATTATGTACTATCTAATTGATAGCTTAGTGTGAAACGGACTCCATTTCACTCAATTAGAATTCTACATTTTCGCGCGGACAATTTAAAATGATCCGTATAGTTTATAAGTAAAGTATATTATAATTTTATATGCTGGTTTCGTTTCTAATTCACATTTCTATTTTATTTTTACTTTGCTTCGGATATATTGACTGGGCTACAAAAATGTTCATCTCGGGACGCATGCGGCCCGCGGGCGGCGAGTTTGACACCCCTGTTTGTTGTAGTTCATCTACGTCGTACTAGAGCAGGACAATGGGCTATCGGCGACGGTCTGGGAAACATCCTTGAAGATGATCGAAGGCATGCCATTGCAATTTTGATCCTCAGCAGAGAGGGGGGCATCCCCGCTTCGGTAGCCCGACGACCTGCATGCGAAGTTGAGCACTTTACGACAGAACAGTTAAATGAGGATAAATACCGCACATCCTCGATCCCTACGCAGACTGATATAAGTGGTCACCCACCCGCACACTTAGAGCAGCCAGAGATGCGCGACTTCGGTGATCTGCTGGGAACCGTGTCTTAAGGATTAGTCCACTGTGGGAAGTTGTCACTACAACGAACTGTGCTTAAAGACGAATTGTCCAACGACAAATTGCGAGTAATGAAAGCAGCTACGTGGAATTATGAGAGATGAATTGAAGCAGAACCTTAAATATGGATGCTATTATACTGAAGCTGTAGCGAAAAAGCAACGGTGTGATAGATGGAATTCAACGTTTTCTGAAGGACATGGCGGGGAATTGGTATGATATGATGACATAAACACTGCACGATGTCAACAAAAAAAAAAAAAAAAGCATCGAACGAAATAGCGATTATAAAAAAAATAAACAAAAGTGCAACCTTTAAAAATTGTAAATAGTATATGATTTTTTTTTTTTTTCGGTACTGTATTTCTTGAATAAGGGACCTTGTTTGGGAATTTCTCTAATAAAAATGTCTACTCCAATTGTGTCAAGTATAACTTTAGTTCTGTTGTCTACTCCTTTTCTCACAAACCATGTAAATTTATGCATTATTAACGTGCAGGAGTATAAAGAAAGACACAATAAATAAGAAAACTCACGACATTAAGGCATTTGAGGAAATCTTTTGATCATGGTTTTGAGAAGCCAAGCTGTAGGAAAAAAACGTGCAATACACACATTGATAAAAAAGAACATTTATAAAGAGAAAGTCACAGTTACAAATAGAATATACAAAATAGAATATACAGAATAGAAAAGAGGTTGCAAAGGTAAAGGTAGCAACAACACATTAAGAAATAGCAACAATAATGAGAGAGAGTCATGCAACAAAAATTACTTGACGACATCTTAGGATAAATACAATCAAAGTCATGATGAAACATTCATATAATTTAAACAATATAAACATGCACATAAATACTTAGTATATAAGATTATTTCTCGAAGCTCTTCAGTCAAGAAAAATAAAGAAGCCATAGATTGAATCCCTTAAATAGAGTTGTTGAAATGTCCGACTCCAAAGTATACTCAATTAAATTTTCCACCAAATCGCAGAAAAATATTCGAGTATTATTATTAAGCAATAGTTAATTTCAAATTATATACTTCTATTTATTTATGAACAATTAATGTAAGTGGAATTTTGTTTAAAATTACATTTTGCTTTAAAAAAATTGGTAAAATAAATTTTAAAAAATATATTGGTACAAAATATTAAAATTGTGCAAAATCATTCCAAGAAAAGAACTTCATATCTATATCTCACACGCACATACATTAACGTTTTATGACAAAAAAATTTTTAGTGAATATTTCTGAAGAAACTTACAAATAAATTCGGTTTTGGAATTTATAAATTAAAAGATAACTTAATAGATAACACTAGGGAACAAATTTTTGGCGGCATTTATAAAAGTACTTATTCTTAACTAATTCGAGTGTGGGGATCTGAAACTAGTTTCGTTCAGTAAGCTGCAGATTCTTTTCAAAATAATATTTTCAGTTTATTTATTTCTTTGTCTGAATGCACAAGATAATAAAAACGCATAGATTTATATACGTACATATGCACTTGTCTGCTCCTTTGAAAATAACCCTTAAGACAAAAAATATGACCTTAAAGTATCGCATCATAAACTGAAATGTATTATCGTCTTCTTACCACTTCCTACGTAGAAGAGAAGTGGGTACACTCAGAATTCACTCGAGAGAATTTAAAAAAGATCCTGGTTAGGAATATATTCTTGAATTGTATAAAGACTATAGCTCTTAGAGAGAAACAGATTGCAGATTTGAAATTAGAGATCTGAAAATATTTAAGATCTGTTCAGAAATATCATGCGTCAAAAAAATTGTTTCCCAGATAATTTATTTAATAATCTCGATTTTCCCATGGTAAGCATTTTGTGTTCTTTTTCAATAGTTCGGTTAAACAGAGGCACAAAAATGTTAAAATGTGATAAATTAAATTTACTGTAATTAATAATTTAAATAATTGTTATAATAATCATTCAAGTAAAAATTTTAATTACATAATACAGTGAAACCTGCCAAGTTGACCACCCTTGTAAGTTGGGCACCTGCATAAGTTGACCTTAATTATCAAGAACGGAATTTTTCCTATATAATATAAAGAAGCAAAACCTTTGTAGCTTGACCACCTGTCCATCTTGTATGTTGACCACTGAAATAAGTCAATTTTGTCTAGGAGTATTATGAAATTCTATTCTAAAACCCTCATAAATTGACCAGAAAAAAAAATCAGAAAATTTTCTGTCATTTTTGCAATGTATATTAAAATTTCACTTGTTTGGTGAAATAGTGTAAAAAGCTAATCTAAACCCTTTTGTGAGTTGACAATCAGGGGAAACTGTAAGGGGTCAGCTTTTGACCATTTCTTTCATCCGTTCATTGAAAACAGGTGTGTTAGTTGAAAAGTTGCTCTTCCAGTTGCAATAGTGAGCATTTGAATAAATGAATGCTCTGAAATATGCTTTGATCCTTTATTTATGGTCTTTGATCTTTAAGTGTAGTAAATAAATTTTAAAGTGTTCAAATAATTTTATTTTGTTAAAGTTTTCAAATTACATGTTTTCGTGTTCTGATATTTTAAGAAATTATACTTATTAAGCACTTCACATGCATAACTAACGAAATAATTTTTTTAGAAAAAATTAGTTAAATATAAGAATTATATGTATCAAATTGAAGTTCATTCAGGTTTAAACACATTTCTTAAGATATTCATTTGCATATTTTCTGAATAAAACTTTTAAGTCAAGTAAAAAAAAAAAAAAATTTACATATACAGCAACATGATATAGGAAACGAAAAAGTAAACAATGACCCACCCCTCTATAAGTTGACCGCTAAAACAATGCACCACAAGTGGTCAACTTACACAAGTTTTACTGTATTAGTTTTGCTCCGAGAGCTACAGATTTCTTTCCAAAATGGTATTTTTAGTTAAGGTTATTATTTTGTTTGAATGTGTAAGCTTAAAGAGAATTTAAAGGTTTATATACATACATATACACTTTCCAGTTCCTTTGAAAATAACACTTAAGAAAAAACATATGACCTATCACATAATAAACTGTAATGTATTATCGTCTTCTCCTACCACTGCCACTCGGTAAATAGTGAATTTAAAAAAAACTTGGCTAAGAATATGCTCTTAAATTGCATAGAAACTGTAGTCTGTTTGAAGAAACGGAATGCAAATTTGAAATCAGTGACGCGAAAATATCCAAAAACAGTTCAAAAATCTTATGCAACAGAAAAAAAATGTTCCTTTGTGTAATTGCCTCGAACTAACAAAATGAAAATTAGCAAAAAGGGTTTTTAAGTAAGGCGAAAAAGCCCACGAAAATCACTCTAAGCAAAAGGAACATTATATTGATATATAGGATATTAATAAAAGGAGGATAGTGTTGGTAGAAAACAGCTGAACACTAGAGCCAACTTAAATAAAAGGCTCGAGTTCAATTAGATAAGAGATGTTCCGTAATCATCACCTGGTACAGCTCTTAGAATATTTATTTAAAAAAATTGTAATCTATACATGTTTTACAGTATTTAAAAGTAAATTAATATTATGTGTGAAAAACAAAAGTTATCAAAACCTGACAAACATTATCGAAATCTGTAACAGCGAAGGTTTTCAGCAACAAAACCAATTTAATTGTTGGATAAAACTAAAAAGCATTTAAACAACTTTTTCCTTTCAATTCTTGGACATTAGTGAGTTTTTGAAATCCATTCCTTCTTTAAAATTGACCGAGAAATTTTTTTTTTCCTTTCAGTTTAAGTATTATTTGTGCCTATTTTTCACAGTTTCTTTCAATGTCCCGCAAGAAATAGATTTCTTCTGAGAAAATGTCAAGCTTGTAAGAAATATACTCTTAACCCACACTTTTGAAAGCCACCTGTCATAGCAGTTCAGTTGAATGTAGAGTACAACAACGCAAGAGCCGGAATCAACTGTACTGTGCCAAATGAAACACCAATGCATACTCCAGGTTAGCTTATCAAACGGTTTTTTAAACGGTTTTGACGTAAAAGAAAGAAAGAAAACGGAAAATAAGAAAATATCACTTTGGTTTTTGGAGATAATGGGTCTTGTCTAAATAAAATAAATCCTGTTTATGTTAATTTCTAAAATAGTTATAAAAGAGGAACATACGAACAAATACGAGACGCTCAAATTAATTAAAAAAAGGAAATTAGCAAATTTGTACTCAAGTTCACATTAATAATAATAAATGCTTAATAGGTAAACTATAATAATATATAAAAATATGTCAATTTTTCTTATCTTAAATAAACTAGAAGGTAGAATTGTTACTATAATATAAATTCATCGAGAAGTATCTAATGCATTAAAATATTATAAATAAAATTATTTGTGTTTAAATTAGTATTTATAAACAGTCTATCTATTAAAAAAGGAAATAAAGCGATTGACAGAGCGAATTGAATCACGAACATTCCAGCCTAAGAGCAAGAACTTACCACCAGGGTATTAACCGTTAGGGAGGCGAAAAATTCAACTAGCATATTAACGGTGCTAAAATTTTCTTCCAGAATTGACACATCAGTGAGTTTTATTATTTTAATCCTTGCTAAAGGATATATTTCACAAAAATGAACCAAAAATGGAAAATTTGTTTGACTGTTTAATTTTGTTCTTTACATTATTATAAAAGTTAGAAAATGATTTTTTATTACAAAAATAAAATTTTAAATGCAATAACTACTGTATTTATAATTTTTACACGTAAAAAAGTAATGGATTACACACATATCTTATTTAATTAGAGCAAATAAAACAATATTTTGTAGCTAAATATAATATAACTAGTATAATATAATATAAAAACGCAACAATATGATTTTCAATACATAAATTTTACAAATCTTTTACAGTATGGCAACAACCACATTTTCCCTCCCTCGACTGAAGTCGTAATCTGTGAAAAACTAGAACCACTAATGCCATCTATTAGGAAAATAGTGAATTAAGTATCCTAAAGTAGAAAAGAACTGATTTCGGACTTCACAAATTAGAAACGTAAATTTTTCAGAATGTATGAATAAGACCAAAATATGAAACTTTTCATAATTGTTATTTTGTAAAGGATGAGAATTAATATTTTTAACTATAAGAAATATCCCGATCCAAATATTAAAAACATCCACTCTAAATGTTAAAAAAATTTCTCAAAACTAAAAAATTTTGTTATCAAAATTATTATTTTTAGATATTAAAAAAAAGTATCCGCTCCTTATGCCTAAATGAGATTACCTATGGGGTTATATCGACAAGCCCCCCATAGAATTAAAAAAAAATTTAACCGGCCAAGAAAACAAGAATTACTAGCGTACGGAATTTTTTCTTTTAAATAAACCTAGTTCTAAGAATGTATTGATTTTTAAATTCTTATTGCACAGTGCACAAAATAAAAATAAAAACGAGAACATCTTAATAACTTCTGATCTAATGGACAGATTTTAACGTATTAAGATTCAATTTTATTGGTTCGATGGTCCAAACTTAAATAAGCTAATTATTGCAAACGATATTTTAAGTTACGAAATTCCACAAAAATACTTTTTTTTTTTTGAATAAACATACCTTTTATTTCGA